GCCCTAGAGCTTGTGCTTCTCAACAAGAGAAGCGACCGTAAGGAGAAGCCCATGCACGTCAACAAAGAGTAGTCCCCGCTCGCAGCAAGTAGAGAAAGCCCAGGCAGTAAGAGAGTCCCGGTGCAGCCAAAAATAAACAAATAAATAAAATTATTTAAAAAACAATAAAATGTTGACTCTCCTGCCCTGCCCCTGAGAACTAGAAGGAACTTTATAGTCATCAAGGTTCTGAGTCTGCCTCCCACTGTGGGACTTGTGAGACTCCCCTCAACCTGCTGCTGGAGTGGCAGTTAGCAGGTGCTTAATAAATGCATGTTGACTGACTGACCAACCAGACCTCCCATTCCTCGTCTGCAGAAATAAAAAGGATGGCAGACATGATATCTGAAGTAATTTCCAAGTTTAAAAGTTCAGAACTTGGGTGCAATCGAAAAATGTTGTCAGAGTGGAAATGGAACTCTTTAGAGATTGAGTAATTGTGAAGCAGCAGGCAGTAAGGCAAAGCCCTAGTCTTCTTATTCCCAGAAAGCTTTAAAGATTTCCTTTTCAATGCAAATCAAATTTACAATGAGGTATCACCTCACACGGGTTGGAATGGTCATCATTAAAATATACAAATAATAATTGCTGGAGAGAACATGGAGAAAAAAGAACCTTCCTACACTGTTGCTGCGAATGTAAATTGGTGCAGCAATTTACAATTTTCCACTACGGAAAACAGTATGGAGGTTCCTCAAAAAAACTAAAAATAGAGTTGCCATATGATCCAGCAGTGCCACTCCTGGGGATATATCCAGACAAAACTCTAATTTGAAAAGATACATGCACCCCTATGTTCGTAGCAGCATTATTCACAAGACACGGAAACAACCTACATGTCCATCGACAGATGAATGGATAAAGAAGTTGCGGGACACATATACAATGTCAGAATGCATGCATGTGTGCTTAGTAGCTCAGTCGCAACCGACTCTTTGTGACCCCATGGACTGCAGCCCTCCAGGCTCCTCTGTCCATGGGATTTTCCAAGCAAGAATACTGGAGTGGGTTGCTATTTCCTCCTCCAGGGTGTCTTCCTGACCCAGGGATCAAACCCGAATCTCCTGGGTCTCCTGCATCACAGACAGATTCTTTACCACTGAGCCATGGAGAAGCCCACATATATACAATGGAATATTACTCAGCTATAAAAAAAGAATGAACTAATACCATTTGTAGCAACATGAATGGACCTAGAACATATCATACTAAGTGAAGTAAGTCAGAAAACAAATATCATCTGGAAGCACTTATAGGTGGAATCTGGGCTTCCCATGTGGTTCAGTAGTAAAGAATCCACCCACCAATGTGGGAGACAAGGGTTGGATCCCCGGGTCAGGAAGACACCCTGGAGGAGGAAAGGGCAACTCACTCCAGTATTCTTGCCTGTATACTGCCATATATAGAGTAGCCTAGAAGTCTAAAGTCCATGGGGTCACAAAGAGCTGGACACAACTGAGCAACTCACGCACATATGTGGAATCTAAAATGTGACACAAATGAATCTATCTATGAAGCAGAAACAGACTCACAGACATAGAGAACAGACCCCAAAGAGGAATGGGGGGTGGATGGATTGGGATTTGGGAGTAGCAGATGTAAATTATTATATATAGAATGAATAAACAACAAGGTCTTACTGTATAGGACAGTGAGCTGTATGCAATATCCTGTGATAAATCATAATGGAAAAGAATGTTTACATATGTGGAACTGAATCACTTAGCTATACAGCAGAAATTAACACAACATGCAAATCAACTATACTTCAATTAAATAAATTTTTTAAAAAAAGAATTTCCTTTTCTATCTAGTTTACCTTCATTCTTGTTCTCTCACTTATCTCCCTCTTTCTCTCTCTCTCTCTCTCTAAGTTCCAAATGGAAATCTTCTCAACAATGTCTCCTTTGCACCAAATGGGGATTACTTGTAAATCCACCAGTTAGTTGATTGAGAACAAATATTTTGGTGAAAAGACTTAAAAATCTGAATTTTTTTCGTGGTTTTATTTTATTTATTTTAAGCTATTACAAAATAATGGTTATACTCCCCTGTGCTGTACAATATACGCTTGTAGTTTATTTATTTTATACATAGTAGTTTGTATCTCTTAACTCCCTACCCTTATCTTGCCCTACCCTCTTCTCTCTCCCCATTGGTAACCACTAATTCATACTCTATATTTGTGAGTCTGTTTCTGTTTTGTTATATTCAATCATTTTATTTTTTAGATTCCACATATAAGTGATATCATATGATGTTTTTCTATGTCTGATTTATTTCATTAAGCAAAATGTCCTCTAGGTCCCTCCACATTGTTGCAAATGGCAAAATTTCATTCTTTTTATGGCTGAGTGGTATTCCATTGTATATATGTACCACGTCTTTATCCATTCAACTACTGGTGGACCCTTAGGTTTCTTACATATCTCCGCTGTTATAAACAGTATTGCTATGAACATTGGGATACATGTATCTTTTTGAGTTAGTGTTTTCATTTTCTTCCAATATTTTCCCAGGAGTGGAATTCCTAGATCATATGGTAGTTTTATTTTTATTTTTTTGAGAAATCTCCATACTGTTTTCCACAGTGGCTGTACCAATTTATGTTACTTCTAACAGTATACAAGGATTCCCTTTTCTCCACATCCTCACCAACATTTATGACTTGCTGACTTTATGATGATAGCTGTTCCGAAAGGTGTGAGGTGATGTCTCATCGCAGTTTTGGTGTGCATTCCTCTGATGATCTGGGATGTTGAGCATCTTTTTACATGCCTGTTGGCCATCTACATCTTTCTTAGAAAAAACATATATCCAAGCCTTCTGCCCATTTTTTGGTTGTTTGGTTTTTTTTATATTGAGTAATATTTATATGTATATATATTTGGATTTTAACCCCTTATCAGTTATAGCATTTGCAAATATTTTCTCTCATTCAGTCAATTGTCTTTCATTTTGTTGATGCCTTCCTTTGCTGTGCAAAAGCTTTTAAGTTTAATCAGGTCTCATTTGTTTTCTTTTGCTTTTGTTTCTTTTGCCTTAGGAAACATATCTGAAAAAAATATTTCTATGATTTATGTCAAAGAGTGTTCTGCCTATGTTCTCTTCTAAAAGTTGAATGATTTCAAATCTGACATTTAGGTCTTCAACTAAAATTGAAATAGGTTTTGGAAATTATTTTTAAAATCTAAATATCTCTGCATCACCAATAAGCTCAGAGTACTGTACAGCTCTTTCTTGGTATCAACTCCTCTCAGCACATAACCCTAAAGGTGACTTATCTCTCGCATTCCAGAGAGGAGAAAGCAAGTCCCAGTGGAGTCTGCTCCACGCTGAGCTGAATTCACTTACAAAGAAGATGTGGCGCAAGCAGAGCTGAAAACCAGCCCAGGAGAATGTGTGTTTTTGAACCAAACCATCTCCAAATGCCCTGGGAAGTGCTCGCAAGCTTTGTTTGTGCTGCCGGCAAAAGAGACTTTTCACAAAAGGGCTGTTTTTCAAAGAACAACAAACGCTGCTATTTTAAACTTGGGGGTGGGAGATCTATCTGGACCTGGACCGTTTACACAAGCGAGTGCTGGCTGACTGACATCTCACCCCAGTGTCTGCAGCTCCGGCTTCCAAGGAAAGCAAAGGGTCCCGCTTCTGATGGCTCTGGGAGTCAGCATATGAGCTCTCCAGCTGTAGTTGAACTTTGCAACGTAGGCAGAAATCCTCAACAAGGTCAGGCTGGTGATGTTTACCACCCAAGTGGTCTTGGGGATTAAAGGGGGCCAGGAAGCTATGGAAGACTTGAGCACAGTCAGCAGACACAGGACTTAATGGACACTAACCCCCACGCTCTGCGTGCGTGTGTGTGCGTGTGTGTGTGTGTGTGTGTGTGTTGTCCCTATTATTGCTCTAGGACAATGCTGCGTGACTGTAAGAAGCCAGCCGCTGGAGTCAGGCTACCTGGGTTTACAGCCTCACTCCACCATAGCTAAGCCCATAAACTCCCAGGTTTCAGCTTCCTTGTATGTAAAGTAGAGGTGGTAAGCACTGCCTGCACCCAGGAGGCTGTTGTCGGCAGTCAAGAGGCTGACACACCAGAGCACTCCCACATCCAACCACGCTGGCCGTGGCTGCTGCCAGGACTCTTGGCTCTCAGAAGCCCACCAAACTGCCCACCAAACAGGAATGTGTGTCTGGCCCTTGCAAAGTCAATGAAAAGGCAGAGACGGCAACACCATCCTGCTCACGGTGTTAGATTTTAAAAACATGTAATAATAATAATAATGACAAGGAGTATAATCACCAATTTCCATCACAACTCCAGTGCTTTTTCTCACATTATAGAGATTCATGAAATTCTGGAAGAGAAGCAGCCAGCGGCGATCAGCAAGACAGAACAGGGAAAGGTGAGCCCCTACGGTAGGAAAATTTCTCTAAAAGGGCTGTTATTTTTACAACACAGCCCTAAATCTTTCCAGGAAAGGAAAACACAGCCAAGCTCACTCAGCAAGGGGCGGAATCGCATTTCCCCTTCTCTCACCGGAAGTTTCAAACTAACTAGAAACGTGACAATGACTGCCAGTGGCTGGCAGGTTGGAAATTTTATTTTTTTAAAAAAATCATTTTCCGTGTTCAGAGTCTGAAAAATAGGGATTGAAACAGTGCAGTGTTCAGAGGAGAAAAGGGCAGTGAGGGGTTACTAGCTAACTCTATAGAGTTTTCGCAGCAGCATCCTTAGTGTACAAGAGACCCGACCTTCAGTTTCGTAAGAAGTAAGGACTCGACACGTTAAGCAATGAATTCCGAGATGCCCAGAGTTACCCAGCTCCCAGCCCAGATTTCTTTGCAACTCAGCCAAACGGCTTTGCGGAGTTCAGCTGAGTGGGGGAAGGGGAAAAAAAGGAGCAACCAACTTTTCACGCGTCTTACCCTGCGGTTTTCGAAGGAAATAAGGAAAAGACACTAACCTTGCCTCTTGTCTGGGAAGAGCACCGGGCCCGTCTGAGGCTGTCGCCCATAGCAAAGGGCCCCCAGGTTCAGGAGCTGAGCCACCACGGAGAGCTTTGCAAGCCAGCTCCTCTGGGCACATGGCATGATTCAGTCGTTGGGGAGAAGAAAAATCAACAAGTTTTAGCTCTCAGCTCAAGAAATCAAGTCCTCGCCCGTGGCCGAGCAAGAAGATGCAGGGGTGCATGGTCCAGGAGTGGGGAGAGGGAGGCTGCAAGGCTGCCCGCGATCTCCCTTTGCTTTTTTTTTTTTTAAGCAGAAAGGGGCTAGTTACCTTTCCGTCCCCTCCCTCCTCCCGAAAGGGGAGTGATTGAGCTGACAGCGTCTGCTTTCCGCGGGCTGTGGAATGGGTCGGAGCGGGAGGGCGCAGCCCACCCCCGATCCCCACCCCTCTGCCTTGGGCGCCCGGCCTCCTCCAAGCCAGCCCCGCGCATCTTCCTCCGGGACTCCCACCCCCGCGCTCCGCCGCCCCGCCCAGAGCCCGGCCGAGCCGGCCAAATAGGGGAGCTCAGAGAGAGTCACCCTGGGCGGGACCGCGAGTGAGAGGCCCCCAGGCCAGTCCCTCATACACGAGGAAAACATTGAGGGCAGAGATGGGGTAGAGGGGACCCCACTCCCCGACCCTCCTAAGCTCAGTGCTGCCCCCTCTCAACCCCTTCTCCTCCCCGTCCTGAACTTTTCCTACCTCTACCAAGCCTCCTCTGCCGGCTCTCTGTCTCCAAGATTCTCTTCCAGGGCCGGCTAGGGCTTCTCTTTCAAAAGAGTAGCAAGCAGTTTTTCCCTTTGCCAGGTCACACGAAGGGAAATGGTGTGTTCACATGCCAGTGAGACCCTGGACAAGGCTCTGTGCCATGAGGTGATGGGACCAAAGGACCATGAACAGCTCTGAGGCTGCAGGTCTCTGTGGGGCTTTTCTAATCTTCCTAAGCCCACCTCCACTCACCCAAAAGGAAACCGGAAGAGTAGAGGAAGTCAGCCCCAGAAGGTGTCAAGGTGTTTCTCCAGTTTACCTGCACGGGCCACCCATGGAAGGCGAAACCATCCAGAGGCTCAAGCTTTACATCAGTGAGACTGCTGCAAACTAGGGTGCTTGCCAGGCATCCTGAGAATTTCCTGGGATAATCCACTCAAGATTTTGCACCTCAGGGCTGAAACAGGCCTCTTTAGTCCATTCAGGAGGAATTTGGCCCTATAGTGGTTCTCCGTGGCTTCTTGCCAATCCATATGTGTTCTGTGAGTGCAGTGGGTACCAACTCATCTAGCCTTGCCCAGGGCCAAGCAGTGAGCCAAGCACAAGGTGATGCTCACAGACCTGGAGCGGGTAGTTTGAAGGACTTCCAACTGGATTCATACATACCACATGTCAAGGCATAGGTGTGACATTCCTGTTACTGCCATTACAAATGCCCATAAGTTTGGCAACTTGAAACAATACAAATTTAGTGTCTTACAAATCTGGAGGTCAGAAGTCTGAGATGGGTCTTGCTGGGCCAAATCAAGGTTAACACAGCCGCATTCCTCACTGAAGGCTGTTTCCTTGCCTTTTCCGGGTTCTAGAGGCTGCCCGCATTCCTTGGCTTATGGCCGTCTTCCCCCATTTTCAAAGACAGTAGAGCCATTTGGATCTCTTAAGTTGCATCATCCTGACACTACCTCTTTTTCCTCCCTTTTCCATGTATAAGGACCTTGTGATTGCATTCTGGAGCCACCCAGCTCATCCAGGTTCATCTTTTTATGATAAAGTCAGCTGATTGTTGCCATTGTTCAGTCACTAAGTCATGTCTGACTCTTTGTGACCCCATGGACTGTACACCAGGCTCCTCTGTCCACCATCTCCGGAAGTTTGCTCAAATTCATGGCCATTGAGTCGTGATGCTATCTAACTGTCTCATCCTCTGCCTCTGCCTTCTTATTTCGCCTGTAATCTTTTCCAGTGATTTGGCTCTTTGCACCAGGTAGCCAAATGGAAGAACTTCGCATCAGTCCTTCTGATGAATATTCAGGATTGATTTCATTTAGGACTGACTGGCTTGATCTCCTTACAGCCCAAGTGACTCTCCAGAGAGTCAGCTGATTAGCAACTTTAATTCCATCTGCAAATTTTATCCTCCTTGCTGTACAACATTACATGCTATGTTATGCTATCAGATCAGTCATAGAACTGCTCTGAGCCTCTGTTCCTTTTATATAAATATTAGTTAAGAAGAGCATAACTTTAGTCCAAAGGAGATTCAGATAAGACATGCATGTCTAGTGAAATGTCATGAAGACCCAACAGAAAGGCAATTGCAAGGGTGTTGAAGAACCACTTTGGGTTAGAACTCTTTCTTTCCCCTTTGTCCTCTTCCCCTTCCCCTTGTCCTTCCCCTCCTCCTCTTCTTCCTCCTTCTGTTTCTTCTTCTTTTAATAGCAAGCAGAGTCTCACCTGGAGGGTGAGAAAAAGAGTTTCCTACTGGCATTTAAAGACCAGAGATGCTGCTAAACTGCCTGCAACACAAAGACTTCTCATCACAACAAAGACTATGCCCATAGTGCTGAGGCTGAAATAACTTTTTCTAGATGCATGTACAGCACTCAGAGTTCTTTTATACTCTTTGCCATTAAAAGAATCTTTGTTCTGGAGTAATCACTTACTGGATTTCACTTCCGAAGTTCACTTACAATGCTGTGCCAGTCTCGGGTGTGCAGCAGAGTGTTTCAGTTATACATACACCTATATTTGTTATTTTTCAGTGTCTTTCCTATTTTTCTTTTTTCCTTCTTTTTCCCCAAGTGCTGTTGAAGAGACTTACATAATTGCACCTAGTGGTAACGACCAGTTCATGTCTCCAACTAGTTGGAGAGATATTATATTTTATATAATATCTCAGCACAGATATGCATCCTGCTGCTGTTCTAAGACCGAGTTCCTCTTACTGTCTCCAGAATTTACGAAATTCCTCCAAAGCCTGCTGTTACCTCGGAGCATAGGGAAGAATTAATCCTCCTCTTGTCAATGAGAAAAGGAAACAGATCCTTTTGGTGACCAAGGCTGTAGCAGCAAACGAGCCCACAGTCTTTCCTGATGTGTCCTCTATAAAGAGAGCACAGCTGTGGAGCAGTTCATCGTCTCCTAAACATCCCATGACTGATGCAAATATGCTCCCACTGAAGAAAAACTACAAACACATACAAAATGCCAGTGTTATATAAGAGGTTGGGACAGCAAATACAATATTTATGACACGCTATCTACTGGGCATTGTCCTGTATCTGTATTACTTTATTTAACCTTCACAAAACCCCATTAGTTAGACAAGTACTATTATTATCCTTGATTTGTGGATGAGAAAACAGACACTGAAAGGTTACATAACTTGCCTAGGATCACATCACTATGAAGTGGAAAATCAGGGTGAAGCAGTGAATGAAAAGATTTAGCCAAGATGCTAAGTAGAACCAAATATAGATCTATCTTACTTGCTCGCAGTGTCTTCATCCACAAGGAGTGGAGGGACTAATACTGACATTCAAACATCATCACTGTGTGTCAGGTGGTGGTTCAGTTTGTAAGCAAAGTATTTTCCATATAAAAATACAAATTGAGGCAAAAGATTAAAATGCCTCACAAAGAGTTCCCTCTGTTACATAGGCAAACAACAAAGTTCATACTTCCCTTGAAGAGGCATAACAAAGTTCGTACTTTCCTTTAAAACCTGTAGAAGAACAAGGGATGGCTGAAATTCAAGGGACATTAGCTCAAGGCATTTTTCACAGCTCTTATTAGCACTGGAAAGACAAAAGAAACTGACATAGACCAAGAAGACCAACTCTGACTTGGCCCCAAGAATCACAAATTAATACCACAGAAAGAGAATTAACATCTGTTAACCCTACCTCAATACCACCATCACCACCACTTCATAATGACAATCATGGTATCATGCTTTATAGTTTACAAGGTTCCTTTAGTAAGCCAAGTGAGAGGATGAAAGGGAGAAAAGTCTTCCTCTGAACTTTTCAAGCATAGTTAGACCTTAACTCTGTTTGGAAATCAAAAAACAATGTCTTCAAAAATCATACATTTTAATATTGCTGTCACATGTACTATTTTCTTTTAAACCTCTCTGCAGTCCTTGAAAGAAGATGGGAATGGTATTTGAAACCCTGGGGATTCTCAGCTCACTTCTATTTTTCCACCTTCTTGTAGTCAATGTATAATTGTATCAATAATCAGCACTGCCCATTCCCATCACCAAGAGAGCTTGTCTTCCTCACTCAGTTTGAAGCTCCTGAAACCTACTTGGCTTTGTATTAAATGAATGCCATTGAACCATTCTTCAGACATTGTAATTAATCCATTTGACTAAAGAAACAATGTCATGTCAACGCCTCTTTTAAAGCTATGGCTGAAAAGGCTATGGATCCCTGATTAATGAAACATATTATTGGCTGAAAGAAAACAGCACTTCTGAGAAAAAAATTGTGTAGCACTTGAATCAAAATGCTGCAGCCAATTGAATCTAAAGTTAGTTTGGAATCATCTTAAGCCTAGTCAAAATGAAACATAACAAAGGTTTACTATGGTTGATGGAAGGAGATCCACATAGGTCGTCGGCCAGAGGGAGCCCAGGTGAGGTGAGGGGGATATGGAGTAGCATGGTGAAAGATATCAGAACCTCAGCAGTGTAAAAAGAGTATCCGTATAGGATAGCTGGCCAGTGCATGTATCAGAACCATGGCAGATGGAGAAGGACACCCACCTAAGAGCTGATGACCCAGCAGAGTGTTGAAATACTGGCAGGGTAGTGGGATGATGGTGGCAGCTGAGGCAGTGACTGGAGGTTATTTAGATGCAGGGGGACTGATCAAATATGTTAACAAAACAAGGATAGTGGAAGTCAAGTTTCTCAGTGCCAGTGAAGAAAAGTAACTGTAAGAGGAAAGAGAAGAGCAGAATGAACCCAGGAATGCTGTTTTGTAACTGAATCTATAGTTGGAACCCATACTTGTTGATGTCTGTATAAATGTATACAGAAATAAAGATATGAATGTGTGAAAGTGTTATGTATAGTTGTGTATGCATATATATATATATATATATATAT